TCGACTTTCACCCCTAACCTATAGGATGTGTAATAAAAAGATTGAAATGAAAAGTTTGTAAAAATTAAAATTATAGTACTAACATGTTAAATATAAACGAATAGTTAATAATTGGAAGTATCGAGTATGCATCTGGTTAAATCATATTCAATTGTGAACTAAAAAACTAAACAATAAAAAATATTTATTGTTAAACGAACTACAAATCAAATATAATCGACTTTCACCCCTAACCTATAGGATGTGTAATAAAAAGATTGAAATGAAAAGTTTGTAAAAATTAAAATTATAGTACTAACATGTTAAATATAAACGAATAGTTAATAATTGGAAGTATCGAGTATGCATCTGGTTAAATCATATTCAATTGTGAACTAAAAAACTAAACAATAAAAAATATTTATTGTTAAACGAACTACAAATCAAATATAACTGAATATTAGTTCATTTTCCCATCCTAGATGTAAGTCATTCAACATGGAAGGCCTTCTCTCCCTCGCGGGCCTCGCCTATCCTGCCAAACTCCTCAAATGATGGGACCTCTTAAAGGCCCATGCCATCCTTCATTCCAACTATCACTTGTCCTACATTCCAACTACCTCTTGTCTATTTCTTTGCGATGAATTCTTCCTCCTCACAATTATGATATTGACCATTAAGATTTTCCTCATGATCAACCGTTGAGTTATTCTTCTTCAATACCCCCATTGATTACTATCCTACGCTATAGATCTCATTGGTATCGAGTTTTTCAACTTTGCAAGGAATTCCTCTTGCTGGTCACAATATTGGCCATCAATATTTCCTTCGTGATCGACCATCGTGGTTTTCATCATCAATCCTTCTGGGTTCCTACCCTACGCCATAGATCTTGTTGTTAATGAGTTTTACTCCATTAATGTCTCTAGGTTATTGTCCTACCCTACCAATCTCGTGAGTTTTTTCCGTTATTGATTCCTTGTTTTAAAAAGTGGTTTGAACGTATGCCAAGACCTAAGCGGTACTTAGGTCACCGCCTACATATTGGGAGAGCCTAGAGAGCATGGATGACTTACCCAAACTGCACCACATCAAAAAGGGGTATATTTCTTGCTTCGGCATAGTAACGAATGAAGCAAATGCGCCAAGTCAAAAAGGATCAGACGAAGACTGTATATCCAAGTACGTCTTAGGTAAACAACAAGATAGGATCTTGAATCTTCGAAAAGAATTCTTCCTCTTTAGGAACACCTACGTGTCATTTAAACACTGCCTAGGGGACTGGATGCTAAGCGCTTGCTACGGCACCTAGAAGCATTTGCTCTGATGTGTAGAGGAGCCTAGCGCTTTCTAAATATTGATTTATTGTTATTTGCAAAGTTTTAGAAAGCGCTAGGTGCTTCTCGGAATATGCGGGCGCCTAGGTGGCATGTAGTTGTTTTTTAACATCGTGAGGAAGGAGTTTTTCAAAGATTCAAAATCCTATTCTCACCATTTTATTTGAGATGGACTTAAATCAAGTCTTGATCTAATCCATTTTAACCTAATCATTTCTCTACAATATTACTCCACCTTTTAGACGTGACAAGCTCACATAAGCACTGCCCATGTATCGCTTAGGCCTAGACACGCGCCTAGACAACTCGTTAACATAATAGTTCCTTATATCTTGGACTCTTTCATTAAAGCTCAGCCATTTTACAATTTTGATACTTCTTATTCAACCTCTCGGATGTTGATGCACAATGAGTTTGAGAGGGTGCTAAGTATATATTATACTTTCTCAAGTCTTTCCATTACTATTTTCTTTTCTTAACAAAGTTCCTCTTTTGCATGAATTTCTATAAATTTCTTGAAATATTTGTAACCCCTTTCAATGATAAATCAATGAGAAGTCACTTTTCTCATCTTGACACTCAGTACTATATAGCTTTGAAGGAAAGTTAAGAGTTACCTTTCATCTTTAGGTCTCATTCTTCAAATTCACTTCTTCAATTCTCTCTAGTCTTTGATTCCTATAGCATTCATTTCTCATTATTATAGTTTTTTTAGTTTTCTTCAACACATTATAATGCCTCAAATTGACATAGTAATAGAGTTTATATATCTTTGTTGTAACGAAGAAACAATCTTATGAACTATTGCATTGAGAGAACTCTTTGGTGGAAGAATCCACTCATTGATGGGAAGAAAGAAGTTCTATCTCTTTGGGTAGAAAGAAGGTAGAGAAAGTTAGAGATTAGCTCCCATTAGTAGCATGATAGTGAAAAGTTCATGGACGATATTTTTCCTAATGTAGACGTTTATATGTTGTTTCAGAAAATTATATCCCTAAAAATGTCTAATCATCTTGTGGCACTACACAAAATGTATCCATTTATGTCATACATAAGCTCAGTACTCTTTTTCTATCCGAGCAAATAGATCAATAAATTTCAGAAAAGAACATAAGCAAATCAAAACTTATGCTAATAAAAGCATACTTACATATGCTTTCCGTAATAAAAGAGGGAAAAAAGGGGTTTTGCCAAAAGATCAAATGCACCATATTTCAATATCATTTATAAATTAAAAGTTAAAATCTTGAAAATACCCTTGTCTTCTTCCTCCTCTCTTAAGGCATAGACCTCCTACCCGCCATGGTTTTAAATGTTGGCCCGACATGTCGGATCAGAGGCTAAAGCGACACGAATATGGTCATTTCAAGTCAGATATCGTTTTTGAGACCCATGTCGGACATGTCGAGGGATATTGCAGACATATCGACTGATTTTCAGCCTTGAACAATAAAAAATCAGCCGATTTTTTTATTTTTTTTATTTTTTTTTTGAGTTGATAAGTATTGGGATTTGGGTTTAGTACTCAAAAGTAAAGCGATTAATTCTTTTTTAGCCTTTTGTTCCCATAGTAACCCGATAGCATATAATACCAATTAGGACAAAGAAAAAATATTGCTCTCTTTTTTGCCACAATCTCCTCCCGTTTGTCTTCAGTGTCTACAAATTGAAATTGAGAATACATAAAAGCGTGATGTAAACAATAAGTTTGAACCGTAACTTGAAAATTAAAATCAATTCAAGTCTAACACTTTATGTCAATTTTATACAAGACACTTTATTTTATGTTAATTTTATGCAGGGCACCTTAAAAGTTCTAGTTTGACAATGTGTATTTTATTTATTTGTTGTCATAATATTCTAATGTTTACCTTCAAGAAATGGAAAACGACTTATGTCTTGATGATGAATACTCAACTCAAGTAGGATAAGTTATAACAAGACAAGTGCATTTCATCTTGTTAACCAAAATTGAATAGAAATCTATCGAATATGACAATCCGATATTTAGTATATGTCCCCCGACATATCCCCGATTTTCGCTATCCAACATGAATTTTGGTTGTCCGACATGAATCTGATATCCGACATTTAAAACCTTGCTCCCCACACAATTTTTTCACCTCTTCGTTTAGGCCTTCCTCCACCCTCTCCAACGCCCCTCCTGTCTCTCCCTTACCGCCTCATCCCTTTCCCAACACCCGACCTTTTCCACCTCTTCATCATCAACTTACATATTTTGTTAATATACTTACGTGGATTGCTGCTATACTTATAGATTTTGTTGCTATACTTACAGGTTTTGTTGTTGGTATCATGCATTATTGTTATACTTGCATTTATTTTTCTACTATACTTGCATGTATTAGGAGGAAGGAGAGAGGAGATGGCGGAGGAGAGGGGGATGAGGGAGACGAGAGGTGAGAAGAGAAGGTAGAGATAGGAGGAGAGGGAGGAAGAGGTGTTGATGGAGAGTGAAGGAGGGAGGAGCATGTCATTGAAGTGGAGAAAAATAGATTCTTTTGTTAAAGAGAGGAAGAAAGGTATTTTAGATATTTTTGTTTCATCGGGAGATACAATATACATGTATGGTTGCATTTATACCTTTGGGTTTAAAGATAAATGAAATAGTATTTTGGGTTTATGAGTGTGTATAGAAGTATGTGGGTTTAAAAGTAAATCTGGGTAAGACTTTGGGTTTATAAGTAAAAACCCCAAAATTCTCTTTGAGATCCTAAAGAACTAGCAATACGATCGAATAAATGAAACTTGAATGTCTCCTAACCTGAGAGGGAAATGCTGACTTGAACGCCTTGGGTTCAATATCATAACCCCCCGGACTAGCAGCTTTGTAGATTCCATACATGAGCTTGAGATCAACATCAAATAGAAATAGTCTCATGCCCTTGTAAATTTTCGCAACTACATCCTTTTTGCTTGCCGGGAGACCAAAGACTTTATAACGGAAACAATCCTTCTTGGTTTTAGCATTGCACATGAAAATAATTCCCATACCATCAGCCTTCGTCAAAACTTTCTTCTCTGCAACTGAAGTCCCTTGCTTATCAGCATCATTTGATTTATTGGCATCACTGGAAGCTGCAGCGCTGGCAGCTGCCTTCTTTCTGTTCCTCATTTTTTTGGCATTTTTTTTAGGTGTGGTTTCTTCTTTACCATTATTTTTTATCTCAGTTGCATCTCCTTCAATCTTTTTAACTTGAGGAACATCAGTTCCCAGAGCTTTATTGGTGTCATCAGAAGCTGCACCATTGGCAGCTACTTTCTGTTTTCTCTTCTTCATCCTCATGACCTTTTTATCAGGTTTGTTTTCTTCTTTAGCATTATCTTTGACCTCAGGCGCACCTCCTTCAACCCTTTCACATTCAGTTCCCAAAGATGCTACTTTGGGTTCTTCTTTATCTCCTTCCTCAGACTTATCAAGGGCATCCATGGTCTCTTTCTTGTTATCATGGTTCAAATCATCAACATTCTGTTTGCTCTCTTGACCTTCTATCTCATTTATTTTCTTAGATTCATTTTCACTCTCTTTTATTGCATCTTCTCTCTGAGACTCATCAGGATCATCTTCTGCCTGTTCTTCCTCAGATAGTTCCTCAGGCCCAGACTCATCAGGATCATCTTCAGACTTTTCTTTCTCGTTTAGTTCTCCACACTCATCATGACCATCTTTGGTCTCTTCTTTTTTCTCTGTTTCATCAGACTTAACAGGAACCGTGGTCATTGCTGCTTCTTCAGTTTCCACTGACCCAGATGGAGCAGCTTCAGCAATTGTATCATTGCCAGAGACCAGCTCCACATTTGATGGGACATTAGAAACAGCAACATTCGCCTTGCTTTTTGTTCTTGCCATGTTAACTAAGATTACCAAAAGGAAACCAATGTGAAAGAAAGACCAAAAATTCCAGAGCAACTTCATCAGAAAAGCCATTTGCAAATACAGATTTAACATAAAAGGTCTCTATTGCAACGTAAGCATAAAGAGGATATGATTGGCAACTATTTTTTACTAACAAAATTCCTGGAATACGATGCCTAATATAATGCAAAAGCAGGGGATGAAACTAAAAAATCAAGCACCAAATATATCAGAAGAAATATTTCGATTCAGTGTACCTATAGCTGCATGCTAACAAATTCAACTGTAACGTAAGCATATAACAGGATATGACTGACAACTATTATGTACTAACAGAATTCCTCGAATATGATGCCAATGTGATGCAAACACATGGGATGAAACTACGAAAATCAACACTAAGGATATTAGAAGAAATGTTTGGATTCAATATGCCTACAGTTGCATGCTAACAGAGATTCAATCAAAACTTTCATTTGCTTGATGTTTTGGAAATTTCCAAATATTGTTATGAAAAAATTACAGAAAACTGAAGTATAATCTTGTCAGAAATGCATAGTTGGTATTACTAAGGAATTTTGCAAATAACTAACAGAAAATTATTCATGTTTAATCAGCCCTAAACAAGTCACTTAACTCATTTGAACCAGTGGCAATAGAAAAGAGTAAGATTGAGATCAACATTCCATTTGTTATACACAATTTGCTCAATCGAATAGTCAATGAAAGGTTTTACCTTAACAGATACTAGTCACTAAACATGGGTATGGACTATGGAGTGATAAACCCATCATGATATGACAGCAAGAAACCTTAATAAATTTGTTGTAAACTTATGCATTTCTCCTAAGTCTTATAAACATGTACATTACAGATAAATGTTTACAAAGATTGAGGTGGAAAGTATCAGAAGTTAAATCACACACCAAACTATGGCAAGTAGGAAAAATCATGTAAGGCACTCAACTAAATATATGAAGCAGTTCAATTATATGATGCAGTTCAATTAAAAACACAAGAATTCAATGCTTCTTTTTTAATTTGGAATATATATTACACAAATGACAAACATATCATATACAATATGGTGTCAGCTAAACAGTTTCTTGGCTACATACATGTATCATGTGTATGGATGCATGCATGCATGGCTAATTAGGATCAGCAGAAAATGGTGAAATCACACATTGTACAAAATGAAGTAGGACTTCCATACTTTCTCGTCAGAAGTTCCGCACCAGTTTGTAAGGTCATGTTGTTGCTATACTGATGGCACATGTACAATCAAAAATTAGGTTTTTGATTTAGTGCTGAACTTTATTAGCATCCACTTCAAATTATCCATAATTCAAAGTTTAACTCGGTAAGTGTGACATCTGGGAGCAGATCTAAGCACTGCATATACTGTGAGTTTTGGAGTTCTAAAATAAGTTTTAAATGTCCAAATGATTGGCAGATATGCAGTCCAGTTTGCTAACCCTATATGGTCAAAAATCGTGGTCAGGAGATAATCGGGACCTGCAGGTTATGCATCTGCATAGATAATTACAAAGGCACATAATCAGTTTGGAGATCCAGCCTAAAGCTGACAACTTCCGCATGTAGGTTCAAATTCAAAATGAGACCAACCGCTAAATATCTAAAACTCAAACTGTCACCCCATTTTCATCCAAAATCATAGTTTTTTCACATTCAGTTGAGTGTTCATTTGTGAAGCAATAAAGCGATGATGGAAGATAAGTAATTGTGGTGAAAATTTATGGCAAGTGTAATAACAGGTACATGGTGATTATCAATGGCATATACTTATTTATTTTTTTCTCTCTTTCCTAATTCTTTATTTTCTCTTAAAATATGGCAGTTGATTAACTTGATTTTGCTACTTCTTGCTGTCTCTAAAGTACAATTGTCTTTAACTATGATTGTCTTCTGACTTATTTCATATTTTCATTAGTATATTATCCTCATATATTTTATGTTTCCTGACACTTGAATATTACATATTATTAATAAAACTGAAATCTACATAATCACCCGGAATTCATTTATTCAAAACTTAATCGTTTATGCATTATGAGCTCTTAGACCGACCATGTAACAAAATAGAATATTGGTGTTGCCAGGTACAATATTGTTACATGGACATTTTTAATATCACACGTTATTTGCAGTCAATCCTAGTCTCGTAAGCATCTCTATGACGCTTTCTAATTTGACCACAATGCCATCTTCCCAAGTAGGAGCATATATGAAACCATAATTATTTGATTATTTCTCATCAAAAACAAAACAGCATACAATGCAAATATAGGTGACATAAGTACAAATAAAGAGGAAAATATAACTAAATATGCCTTAAGTGTTGGGGCAAGATATGTGAGTGCTGTGTAATGCCATTTAGTCCTTTCAGGCTTTCAGCGTTAGAGTTGTATCTAAGTAGCGTGCACTGATTTTTTTTCAGATGATAACAGTTTAACACACTGATTTATGAGTTGCATCTGTTTATCTAATTTAGAAATTTAGATTGTTGTTCAAATGTTGACAAAATTGGATAGTGCAGCATGTCAAATCATCGTCTAAGCTCTTCTCCAATAAAATGGGATCGATTATGAAACAACCCCTGATGAAAGGTTTGACAAAATGACCTATTATCTACCTAAAGTCAACTCTCTTATTAGTGACCATGAAACCATGGGAAAGAGAAACCAGTTGGCATCCTCCAAATATCACCTAGCCGGGGAAGAGTAGGAAGTCTAGAAGAAACTAAAAAAATGATTTACTAGCAACAAGGACTTACATGAACAGGAGGGCTAAACTTAAGACATCCCAACTTGGAAAGCAAAGTGTTTGAGGATCCCAAAGATAGTCTCTAATGTACATCTGATAGTCTCTAATCCCAAAGATAGTCTCTAATCTACATCTGAAGACGGAGATACTCAGAAACTATTGGAACCTCAACTCACAAGTCACAACAAATGAGAGCACACTTTAAATTGATTACATTTGTCCTATCCAAATATCTTTCCAATTAAAGTATCTGCTCCTTCAAGAATTTAAAATTTATTAAATGAATCATCTGATTGGACCTCTTAATTTGAAGCTAGTACCTACTAGACATTTTCTTGTTCTTCTAGCCATGCATAAAGTTAATTGTAAGGACTAAACCACTTAGAATAAGATTTAATACGGGAAAAAACATGCCATAAGAGGATCTATATCAATGAAAACAAACATGTTCTCACATCAAGAGAAGATCAAAAGAACACTATATCTTGTCCCGGAGGAGGCCATGAAAGAATGGACAAAAGATGAAGAAGAAGAATATAAGGAGAATAGGAGATGAAAGGAACAAAAATATGTAGTAGAAGGCAAGGAAAATATAAAGATAAAAAAAAGGTAAAGGTAAAGAATGATTAAATAGAAGTTACCAGTTAACTGTAAGGTTTTGAGACAAGACTTAAGTATAACCCAGGAGATAATATATAATGTGATAATATATAATGTTAAGTATGCTATTTTTGTTCAAATAATACCTCAAAACTTCCCCAATAATATTCAACTAGAATAAAATGAATGTAGTTAACATGCCCAGTTTTCAAGTATTGATATATTCATTATCCTTTCCAATGGTATCTCTAACTAGGCCTCCTACAAATCTTTCACAACAATAGTAGCACAATACCTGCACGACCCTTGTACTCTCCATAATACCCCCAGAAAGTTAATAAGCAAACCCATCTTAAACCCACTCATAAAAAGCCCACACTTTCATCCAAGTAAAAAAAGAGTACATGTAGGAACCTCGTGTGAAGGTCTTCAATGATCAGAAGGGGAGGAATCGATGGCTATATTAAAGAGCATGATTTAACAAAAAAATGTGCCAGTACCAACATTGTGAAAAGGGAAAACTGCCCTTTACAAAAGCATTCATTTATCAAAATTTCAATTTCCAGATAGTATCAAAAGTGACATGGCCAAGGGAACAAACTACAGACTTTGTCAGACCAAAATTATCACAGTTATAACTTATGTCATACGGTAAACATCCAATTAAAGGTCTGATTTTGTACAATACAATCTAACAACAAAGGCTAGTTTCAAATCACATCATACATTGATGCTAAAAAACCCTAATTTTCGTTGGATGTCTTCACAATTTAATATCCATGATGCAGATCAAGAATCAGATAAGAACGAAATCATCCTTACAAACATTAGGTCTAACAAAAAACACGAAATTAGATCAAGAGATCTCTAGAATTTTCACTAGAGTAGAGAGCTTTCATACAAATTAGGGCAAGAAACGATCTTAGCCAATTCCAAAGCAAAAACCCCAAATGACCAGATCAAGAATCAGATAAGAAGAAATCATCCTTACAAACATTAGGTCTAACAAAAAACACGAAATTAGATCAAGAGGTCCCTAGAACTTACGCTAGAGTAGAGAGCTTTCGTACAAATTAGGGCAAGAAGCGATCTTAGCCAATTCCAAAGCAAAAACCCCAAATGACCAGATCAAGAATCAGATAAGAAGAAATCATCCGATCTTAGCCAATTCCAAAGCAAAAACCCCAAATGACCAGATCAAGAATCAGATAAGAAGAAATCATCCTTACAAACATTAGGTCTAACAAAAAACACGAAATTAGATCAAGAGATCTCTAGAATTTACACTAGAGTAGAGAGCTTTCGTACAAATTAGGGCAAGAAGCGGTCTTAGCCAATTCCAAAGCAAAAACCCCAAATGATCAGATCAAGAATCAGATAAGAAGAAATCATCCTTACAAACATTAGGTCTAACAAAAAACACGAAATTAGATCAAGAGGTCCCTAGAACTTACGCTAAAGTAGAGAGCTTTCGTACAAATTAGGGCAAGAAGCGATCTTAGCCAATTCCAAAGCAAAAACCCCCAAATGATCAGCTCAGAAACTTAATTCGCAAAACAAATTGTTACCTTGGAGAGCCAACAACTTATTTTGGGAAGATTAACCAGGATGATGAAGAAACCCTAAAAGCACCCCACTAAAAATTATATAGAATAGGGGAGAATCCCGGGAGCTTAATAAATGGATGGACGAAGAGAGAGGTGGCCTGAGGTTCAAGGATTTCGAAGGACAAATTTTCAAAACCATCCCATTTTGAAATTTATTTATAAAAAACGATCCCTTTTAGCCTTAATTGCAAAAACCGACCCAGTTTGTTGAAACTGGGTCGATTTTTGAAAAAAAAAATTCCAAACTTCACGGGAGTTCAACTCCCGTGAAGTTTTTTCTCATAACAAAACTTCACGGGAGTTCAACTCCCGTGAAGTTTGAAAAAAAAAATTTCAAAAACCGACCCAGTTTCAACCAACTGGGTCGGTTTTTGCAATTAAGGCTAAAAGAGGTCGTTTTTTATAAATAAATTTCAAAATGGGATGGTTTTGAAAATTTGTCCGATTTCGAATTAAATAATGCTAGGGCACACCATGAACCACACTCTCAATCACATCCTAACATTCTCTATAGTGCTAGTGGGTCATACATGGTATTTTTAAAAAAATATTATGCATTACCCACTAGCACTATAGAAAATGTAGGGATGTGAGATGTGCCCCTACTCCCTAGTGTGACTCTTTCGAATTCCACCCTGGAAAGTTTGCTTTTTGCAATGTTGGACCAAAATTGTTTAGATTGTGACTTTTTGGCCCAAACCTTTTGTTATTATTATTTTTGGAATATAATATATATCTGCTGATAAGACGGTATTATATCAAAGAATCTTGTTATTTGGCTCGCGGTCCAACCGCGGGCCAAACCCATTTTTCCTATATGAAAGAACCTTAACATATTTTAAAAGTTTTTTATGTCATGAATAACATATATGTTATAACACGTGTTATTTCGACAGTTTAAAGCTCCATAGTCGCATGAACTCTATCATAAATAAAGATTTATCTAAGTTTTTATGGCATGAACAACGTTTATGTTATAACTTGTGATGTTTCGAGAGTTTAAAGTTTTGTAGTCGCGTGAACTCCATTATAAATAAAGATTCGTCTGAAAATAATACAGACAGTTAGATGTGGAAGTTGATCAAATAACTATCAAATAGTATATTCGTCTAATTGTTCTTCCAAAATTAAAATTTGGATATCATTTAAAAGAAATTCAATAATTTTTACTATTCATGCATTAGATGAATCTACCGTGGGAGTTCATATATTAATAAACATTTTTTAAACAAATATTTGCTTAAAGCCTAACCTTTTATAGTTATATTGTTATTATGTGTGTCACGTAATCTTCCGATTTATCTGGTATGTAGTATTTGAGAATCTACTTATTTGAGACTTAAGACCGATTTTTAAACAAATATTCAAATTTACATACAAATGTAAGATGCTCTCGAAAATCAATTTTTCAATCAAATGAAAGTATCACCAAACAAGAATATCTTCTTAATCAAATAATATCACCAAACAAGAACATTAAATAACATAATGACATTGTAATATTTGACAAAACGTTCACGGAACAGCCAAAAGATTTTTGCATTGGGACGTAGAATTTGAAGAATAAAATCCCAATTCTGATTCGGATGCAATTATTTTAAATGAATTAGAAATATAAACACAAGCATAGTCGGTACATTTCAATTCGTGTTGAGCCTTGCAGTATTTTAAGAACTACTCTAACTTTAGTCCATCTCTGTTTCAAATCAATTTGTAGCATTGTCATATAAAGGTAAATACAATATAAATTAAGTATTGCCAAGGTTTTCTCATCTTCTTCTCCGGGCTTCAGATGATTGCGTCTTTTACCTTGCAGACTAACTGATCTGGCCGTCTGAATCAGCATCCACTCAACCAAACTTTTACAACTTCCTAATTTGCATTTACACGTACAAATGTAGTACACCATTAATTGTCTACATATCATTGTCTGGTGTATGAAAAAAGATGCGAGCTTATTTCACTATATAAATAAATAACATTTTTTTACAAAATAATGGAAATAAGTTAACACATAAATCCATCATCCTGGGCTATTAGCAACATTGATAGCAAGGCATCTACACTTTCTGTGGAACTTCCTCGAACTCCTGACCTTAAACTGCTTCTAAAAGGCGCTTTGGGCAAATTTTTATGGGGGCAGCCTACTTGCTACGTAACGTATAATAAAGCTTTGAATATATGTTAGTCACTGCCCCCTGCAACTTCTGCAGCCCGTTGTCTCATCATTTCCATCACTGCAGCTCGGCGTCTCGAATCAGATTGCTGCTGCTGTCTCTTAAGATGTTCCTTCAGATCCCTGGATAGAAAAATACATCAACATATCAGCTCTGCTCTGTGCAAGAAAATACATGCATGCAGGCATTGGGAAAATGGTTAACCGTACATAGACCCCTCTAGTATCGCTGTTTTGAGCTTATTACCCTATAGTTTTATTGTTGCAGATAGACCCCAACCCCCCTTTTTTTCCACCAAAGGTAAAGAAGCAAACTCCAAGGGGAAAAAACCCTTAAAAAAAGGAAAAAAAAGCAGGGATCTATCTGCAACAATGAAACGGTAAGGGTATTAAGTGCAAAAAAAATACTACAACGGGTCTACATGCAGTTAACCCTTACGAAACTGTGGGTGACAAAACAAATAAATATGCTAGTCAATTAACTCACTTGCACCGCGGAACATGACACTCTGCCTCCTTGCATGCCCGGGCATGAAGTTGAAGGAGATACCACATTTTCTTGCACATGACGCAACCTCCTGCAGCGCGCGTCTTGCAATGTATCCCATGGCGGAAAAGACCTTTCACTTTACGACAATTTGGATATTGGCAGTGTGGCATGCGACATTGGGAAGCATGCACCAATAAATCAAGCATTTTCCTCAGCTGCATAATGACAGTAATTGAGTGAGCCACCGCCACAGGCATAAAAATCTACTTAGTTGCAAATTTAATGTATCCCATGTCTTCATGAGCCTTAATTTACTTAATTACAAAAAAGGACATGCAAATCCCATATAATCAGTGAGGTAAGTCAGTATAAAATTATAAAACAGTCAACATATGACCATACGTAACAAGAAGGCACAAAAACACCTGCAAGACAATGTTCACATGCTTAAAAGAGTCGAACATCGATGCCTCTTGACTATTTGGCCACACACAGAATACCCTTCCTTTGAGTTGACCTGTTCTCCCTAATCATCATGACCCCAAGTACATACGACGCGCAAGTGCCCTAACTGGATTTCTAATTTTTCTCTTTCATATTTAATACGATTTCCAACTAAAAAATGTCAGACTTAACTAGGTTCAGATTTTTAACATGCCGTATCGGATGAAAGTTAGCCTTTCAATTCTATTTCACTGACAGTTTTTTAACCTTCTATTATCTTGTGATCTACCTACTTCAAATCAGTGAGGATGAACATGCAGTAATAATAATAGAAAATAATTGAATAAAAATAATCTGAGATTCTAAACAGATTGAATGATGAGCACTCCAGAAATATAGTGTAAAATTCTACACTATGACTAATGCTCTAAGATACTCAGTGTGATGAAAATATTAAATATGGTCACGAGAAGGTCTGAAGTGTGAGTGTCACATGGTTATAGTTTTGACCATTTGTGCACTTCGTTTTCTTGACTTTCAGCTCACAGGAAAGTCAAGTAGAAACAACAAACTAGACAAATGACAAGGAGATCTCAATGAAAGCACACGTAGAACTGAACAGTCGAACACCAAAAAAGAATTATTCTAGTGCTGGGGATATAGCATTCCACAATCTGAAAGGCAAACTAACAAAAAATACCTGTACTACTCGTTTTTGCCGGGCTTCTTTATTCTGAGCATCACGCTCAGCCACTGAGGGATGATTCGTTAACTTATGAGGATGACCAGCACCTCCTTCTCTCTGATAACAGCTGTTGCATACATCAAAATCGGGGCAAATTTCACAACGCCAACCCTGACCAGCTTCAATGTCATGATGGCAGACATTACAAGTGGTTACAAATGCAGGTGCTGTTGGATTATGAAGATGATATAAGACCATCATTGAGGAATGCTTGGCACGACGTAGAGTGTCATATTGATAATGATTTCCCTGGCAAAGGCTCAGAAATGCCTGTCTCGTATCAAAAAACTCGCTTTCAAGGATTTCGTCTTTGTCCTTAGTATCTGATGGCACGCCACTGATTTCAACCTGCTTGAGACAATCACATTGAGGGAATTAAATGACAGCATGTGTGTTTGTATGCATAAGTCAATATAGTTGATTTTGCATCCAGTGGTGAGAAGTCCGACTCACCGGGTAAAGGCTGTGCTTATCTCTACCATTGACAGGATGCTTGTCCCTCTCATCAAGTCTTTGTTCTGCACCGTAACACCTGACAACAAAAAGAATTAAGGCATGAAAGTTTTAAATGACATCCACAACAATATCACCCGATTCTTTATATCAAAACAAGATCTAAATAATCACATATAAAGTAAATATATAATACTGCATTTGGCATTGATTACTAGTGGTGATATGCTAATGGTGATGACATCAACTGCTTTCAGAGATTCAGAAAATGTCCAAATGGTAAAATAAATAAATAAATAAATAAATAAGAATGGTGTCTTAAAAAGAATAAATTAACTGCATATCATAAAACTGAACCAACAGGGTACCCATGCCTTGATGGACAACAGAAGTGATACTACCAGGTAGATGCAGCCAACGAAATTCGTGAAGCGTAATCCACATCATTTACAGTTCTTTAAAAGTAAACAAGGGATTTAAATTCAATTATTAATAAATAAAAAAAGACATTTGCAATCTCAACAACGGACACAACTATTGGAGCAGAGTACATAAATCTACACAAGAAAATCAATCTAATGCCCTACAAAGAAATATAATGCTGATTTTAAGGCAGATGGAATCCATAGTTTCTCAGTGAAATACCCTTGTTGCATAAACATATGAATAGTATTCCCGAGAGAACAGAAAATATAGCTCATAAAAGTGTACCCAAGTAAAATGCAAATCTTTAGGGAACAATCTGCAAATCAACCTTCGCCACAAAATATATGTACAAAACTTTTCCCAAACAGATTAGCCACAAAGAAAGGATGGGATCCCTAAGATCTGCAACACTTTTCCTTGACAACGCCAAATACAAGTATAGGTACAAAGGTAACCCCTTAAGAATGGAAAGCAAAGAAGTAAATTCTTAACTTAAAAATATTTACTACCCAAAAAATGATAATCACTTTACGATTTAGGCCTCACGAGTTAATTTTTTTACACAGAACTGTGATACGTGAATTCTCCGCTGGACAATACCAAAACTAATGCTTTAGCAGTTACCAAAACGATACATGGGCTAACTTTATAGTTGTGAAATATTGAAGCACTTTCTTCATGAATTTCAGAGTACCCTTGTGCTATGAAATCCACAACTCATGGTACTAGCAGGAGGAAAGAATATTAGGAGTTTCCTTGCCACAGGAAACTGAAGCAGCTACCAAAACGAATGCTTTAGCAGTTACCAAAACGACACATGGACTAAGGTTATAGTTGTGAAATATTGAAGCACTTTCTTCATGAATTTCAGAGTACCCTTGTGCTATGAAATCCACAACTCATGGCAGTAGCAGGAGGAAAGAATATTAGGAGTTTCCTTGCCACAGGAAACTGAACCAGGTATAGGATGCAGTATGCACGAAAAACGCAAAACCATCCTTCCGCTCTCAGGTTGTATATGTGTCCAATACATGATAAATCGAGCCCAACTGTGTCCCACAAATATTTGGAAAGGGAACTATGCCGATGCATCAAGGAAACAGTTGCAACTTGCCAGCAGCAGCGGGATGAACATACAGAAGAGTTTCATTTAAATTCAGTTAAGGTTATCCATCCAGGTCAAAACTTACCTGAGAATCATTTGCAATTTGGATCCAGTCTTGACCCAAATCCACATAATATATGATACATCACTCGATAGTCCTATCTTCCTCTCGCCTATGCCCTAGAAAAGCACATCTTGCATCTACAATTTGTTTACAATGAAAAGTTTACAATGAGAAGACAAACTTACGAATAAGATAATGGTTCCCTATGTAGACTGGATGCGTGTTTGTATGCATGAGTCAAATATAGTTGGCTCACACACGTGTGCGCTGCATAGACAATCCACATCACAACCACCACTGCCCACTCGCCTGCCCGCCCGCCCGCGACACACAAATAGAAAAAAAAAAGGGCATGAAGTGTCAACTCATTCTACTAGATGATTAACCAAGAGATAAGCTACTAGTGAGGCCCACCCTTCTTGTTACAGCAGAATAACTGGGCCTCACACTCCTATCTCTTGACACTGTTTCATGTATCTACCAAGAGAGACTGCACAGTGCCATGGAAAACTAGCAAATATAAAATAAAATAAAATAATTTTTTGCAGAATACGGCTAAATGGATTGCTAGGAGAAACTTACTTTTCACAAAGCTGGAAATTCTTGCACTGATTGCAAACCCAACGTATTCCAGACACCATAAGTAGACAGCAATGTGTGCATGAATGCTGCAAATGGACCATTATGAAATCTTCTTTCATGGGACAGATAGTTTCCCCAAGCTGCACAAGCAATAACTTTGTCAATCTCAAAATTTAGACAACTGGAATATTAACAAATAGCAAGTCAAATTGTCAAACAATCCAGAATAATAAATAAGGAAACAATATATCAGAATACAGAGTTGACTAAATCAACAAATATTGATCTGATGCTCTCAACATGCCTTGCTTACACAGGAGACTTCAAAAGTACGAAGAATGTTTGAAAAGAGAAGTTCAATTTACACCAAGACAGAAAAGAAAGAATTACTTTTTGCATCAATAGAGCATCCTTGGATGCATTTCCAGAAAGGTCAGTTTGACCAGCAGCTTTTAAAGCCCTTTTTGTTATCGTCTTTTTAGTTTTTCCTTTCTTCTGCTGCCTTCTACCATCCTCCTCCTGACGAAGCTGATTAATCATGTCCTCTGCAGCACCCGGCCAGTAATCACCATCAAAATATGGCAATCGAGCAGCCGTCACCTTGGCCTTGCATTCCTCAATAGTCACAAAAAAATGATCATATAAATTAGTAAGCTCCACAACTATATTTTCCTTCGCAGCTTTGCGGAGCATCGCTAGATACCTGTAATACATAAATCGAGCATGCAAATTAGTTGTGCTAGGGCAAAGATTTTTTTTTTTTTAGGGGGGGGGGGGGGGGAAAAAAAAA